CCTTCCTTGAAAATGCTTTTAGTATCTCCCGATTGCCCGCAGGAGAAAGTTCAGACTCCTTACACACCAACCAGGGCTCATTACCACCTGGCCCTGGCCACCCCAGCGTCTCAGCCCTATCTCACTTCCACTCCCAGCCTTGAACTATTCACAGCTCCCCATCCATCCCCCAATACGCCAGCTTTTTCCTGCCTCTCTGCTTTTTGCCACACACTGTTTCCTCTGTCCTCAGCTCCAGTTGGAAGCTCACGTTCCTATTCACAGCACCTATCCCAGGCAGGCACACCTGAGTGCTGAGAAAATATTTGCTGAATGAATAAATTAACAAGTAAACTTACACTGAAACAATTGTAAACAGGCTTAGCCCACTGAGTAGAAGCTGAGTAATCTTTTTTTAAAATAAATTATTAAGCTTTTGAGAACTGGCTCAGTTCTTGGTGGAATAAGGAAGGATTCCTTATGGCTCTCTCATCAATATTCTTAGTAAACACAGGAAGAAACCTTTGTCAAAGCCATGTGTGCACATCACGTTGTCCCTGAACTTCCAGGGGAAGTCAAATGTTAAATGGAAAGTCATCAATGCTTGAGGCTTGTGCTTATCCAACATCACCTTAATAACTCAAAGAAAACAAGTTGGCGATTTTTGCTGTTGGTTTTAGAACTTCTCTGGGAGAATTATACCTTCTCAGAATTTTTTTCAAATAATCAAGCAAGGCATAGTTTTTCCTAGGACCCAGAAGACTGCTAGATGTTGTAAGATTAAAAATAAGCAAATAAGTAAAGAAAAACTGAAGACTCTGAGGCAGACAATAGTATTTTTAAAGAATATGCTATCTCTGATAACAAGGCTGGGAGCAGTGGCTCACGCCTGTAATCCTACCACTCTGGAGGCCAAGGAGGTGAATTGCTTGAGCTCAAGAGTTTTGAGACCAGCCAGAGCAAGAGGGAGACCCCATCTCTACTAAAATAGAACAAGTAGCTGAGCACAGTGACAGGCACCTACAGTCCCAGCTACTCAGAAGGCTGAGACCAGAGGATTGCTTGAGCCCAGGAGTTTGAGGATGCTGTGAGCTATGATGACACCACAGCACTCAAGGTAGGGCAACTAAGTGAGACTCTGTCTCATAAAAAGAAAAAACAAATATATAACCCTCTCTGATAACATAAGTAGGATACAATGAAACAGATACTGAGGTACAGCAAAAAGGCTCTGCCTGAAGTGGTGGTGGTGGTCAGATTAAGGTAAGATGATGGAAGGGATAAGAAGAAAATTATATGAGGGAAATTGGAAGATAAAGTAAAATAGGATCTCACTGTCAACCAAATAATGGTTAGTTGGAAGAAAATGAAAATTTTGCATTGAGTTTTAATCTAACTCGTTTATTTTCCTTGAAAATAACTTTTTCTCAGGGGGATGACTTTGATCACATCCTGAATT